CATCATTATTATCATCATTATTATCACCACCGTTGCTGTCATCGTCATCTTCGCCGTCATCATCATCGACCTCGTGAGTCGCCAACTTCACTGGGTTATGCGGCCGAGAAGCTCACAGCGGAAGTTTCGCCATTCTTGGACCACCTGCCGAGAACGATTCTTCATATCCAGCTTTGGCAGTGCGATTGTGCACACTTTTGACACTGTATTGCAATGCTACTGAGTAACTGAGTAGTGGTAACAATCCGATCCTTCGAACTAGGCCCTACGCCGACACGTCTGATTTGATCACCCATCTCGATCACCTGGCCTTCACAGGACCAGCCCGCGTCACAGTGCCCAGGATTCGCACCAGCTGCCCTTCATCCGCTACTCGCAGTTGGGACACGGATTGCCTGGCAAACTCTCGTCCAGGCCTCGAGCACCAGATGGTCACGTCCGTTTCACTTCCGCGCCAGATATGACACAAGGCTGTGTGAGTTCCTACTTCATACAAAATTGAAGCGAGTGACACATGCACCAGACGTGAGCGGAGAGTTAAGGCCGGACTCGAGGGCTTGTCGGCAGCCAGGGCTTTTCCAGCCTGCGCGAGTGCGCCGTTCAGAGCGCTCACCAAGTTGGACCACCCCTTCCTCAGAAGGCGATAGGATCCAGGAACTTCTTCAAAGAGATCCAAGGCTTCCACGACCAGCTCGGCTTTGGCACACCGCGAAGGCCCCTTCTCATGACGTGCCAGGAGATCGGTGATGTGCTGTGCTAGCTCTCCAGAAGTGAAGAACTGCAGGAGCTCTGCGGAGACTTCATCCGAAACATCTGGAGCTAGTGGCTCGACCTGTCTTAAGGGCACAAGCAACCCTTCCTCGCCCATCATCCACGCTTCGGAGTCACTTGTGCTGGGTTTGGGGACTCATGTCTCGCACCCCAGGAAACCATGGCTTCAGCCTGGCGCTTCCTTGCAGCGTTTTGAAGCAGAAATTGGAAGTAGCTGCTGGCATTTCTCAGGCTAGTCTTTGTAGCTCTTCGGCTTGCCGCATGACGAACCTTGGAAAAGCTGTCTGCTGCTGCCGCTCATGTCTTTCAATGGCTGACCGTCTTACAGCACGAAGGCGGCGGCAAAAACAGCTGGCCGGGGACGGGGTGCAAAGTCCTCTTAAAACCAGCTTGGAGGGGGAGACTACAAATACGATTGCAACCTCAAAGCGAAGCCAGAAGCAGTGCCTTGAATTGAAACTCACCGGTTCAATGAACCACGAACACAATGCAGCAGCGCACTTCATCGGCATGCCGTTGTTCTTGGCATATGTCTGCAGCTGAGACCTCACAACGGCAAGTGGGAACACAGCGCGTCAAGCAAGAAGAAAGGCAAAGAAATGGTGTGTGACAGGCCTGCCTGGAATCGATGTATTTTCCCCTGTCGCTTGAATGCACCCAGATGTGCCTAGTGCTGGCACCGATCCACGACTCCTGAAAAGAGATCCGCTATTTAGAAGCCTCCCTTTTAAAGGGCGACAAGGCTTCCGGCGGAGGATTGAGCTCCAGGATCTACAGCTGTCGGCCAACCGCAGTGTCGCGGTACCTGTGGAGATCCTAGATGGCGGACTGGCTTCTTTGAAGCCCTCAAAAGCAATATGCTAAGACCGAATGGCCAGAAAATTCTCCATGTGCTCTAATTGTTAAAGACTCTGTGATTGCTGGCAGCTAGAAAGATACTTTTTCAAAGGGGAAAACTAATTGTAGACTCTGAAACTCCGACTCAGGCGCTGTGCCAGCAATCAAACGAAGTCACGCGGAGAAACAAGCTGACGCACGAAAATCGGCTTGGTGAAGAGCTGTCTCTGCTGTCTTGAAAGATCTGCACGATTATTGAGAGGCAGCAGAGCAGATCTACAAAACTCAACAGCCTTCCACTGGGCGCGGGCAGAGCTCCAAGCGAAGTGGCTAACTGTGAAGATGATCCAGGAAGGACGGAAGACAACGCACAGCACAAGGCTGTTGAACGCACATGACCAGGTCGGCATGCGATTTCCGTGAACTGGCTCGCGTCAGGGCGCCAAAGACACTGTGCACGACTTCGTCGTGACTGCTCCCAACATGCCTAGAACATAGAGAGAGCTTTGCCTACAGCATTACCCTGATCAAGCCAAGGATGTTCAAGCGCTTCATCGGCAGAAGGTCGATCGTCAGGATCCAGGCTCATCAGCTGTTTGCCTAGGCTCAACCGCTTCAAGCGAGTCAAGCTGGCAACTGCAGCCTTCCTATTGCTTCCCGAGGGGCAAAAATCAGCGGCCAAGCCGTTCTCCTTGAAATCCTTCTCCCAGTTCAGGTCTGCCTGCCGCAGCTTGTCTGCGATCTCGTGCATCTTCGGAGAACCGACCTTTGAACAGCGGCGCCAGGCCATTCGGTAAAGGGTGACGAAGGGAGGGGGCAATGCTAAGTCTGCTAAGTCCCTGACATAATTCTCGCCGGGCTTGTCATCGAAGACCTTGTGCCTTGTCAAGCTTCGACTAGCGCTCGCTCCTACACCCGCAAAAGGGCACAGTGGACCCTGGCGGCCATGTCGTGCTACATACAAGTATCGTAAATTCACACCGAACGGCTGGAACGGGAATTTCCTGCTGCACAGGATGTACCTGCAAACGGCAAGCCCCGCACTTGCAGACAGCACGTCGTGGACACTGGCATTATGTGCGGCATCTAACCGGGGTGAAGCATAAACAGCATTACGCGACATCTTCTCCTTTCCTACAGTTTTGACTAGTGCCAGCGCGCAGACAGTACAGACCAATATTGCAAGCCACGATACGTTCGAAACATGGCCCTTTCACTCGTTCGATGCTGACCCTGGGAGGTTGCCACGACAGCCCTCATCCCTGGGGGCACGCGATGACCCCAACCGCGAAGACGTCGGAGGCCTGTGAGTAGGTGCCCTCCTTAGCATACAGAACTCACTACAAGGAACAGACTATGCCTATGCGAAACCCTAAACATCCCTAAACCCTGAACTTTACATCCCTGAACCCCTAAACAGATCAGTTGAGCAGCATAAGCCTCCGGTGCAATGTACTGGTCCGTGCCCACCTAAGAGGAACTTTACCCAAGGGATGTTCGCCGCGGCCAAGGTTTCAATCAGGAGCTTGCTTGAATCGACTCGCCCATTCAAGATGAGCTTTGCCTATACGGGGG